CTCATTGAAGTCGGTTTTTTTTTTTGTTAAAAATTATACTTGTTTTATGTTAGTTACCTCGGAACTTACGACTGTGTGAAGCGATTTTGATGATTTTTTTTTTATTTGAAAACTGGTGCTTTGTATGTTGTCCCATATATAATTTCATTGGTATTGGATCTTGAGCTCCGGAGAGACAAAGGGAACTCCTGAAAATCAATTATAAAATTTCTTTAGTTTTGTTTTTCATTAATAAAAAAAATGGACCTGTAGATATATATAGGGCTTTCTTTTATGTAGAAAACACGATGTGTTTCGTTCTTAGAACAAATCTAAACACTTTTTGATAAGAACATCTCAAAAAGTAAAAGAACAGCCTGTAATGTCCCAATGCTGAGCAAACGCCATAGGGTACTAAGACATCGAAAATAACCTTTAAAATAAATTTAAAACCCCTTAAAATAAATTGTTTAACTTCATTCAAATTATTATTATTAATGTTGTTTCGAAAGGAAATAACTAAGCGGCTGTAGTTAAAAACAGAACCATTAAGATAAAACAGACCATAATATGTATGAATCCTTGTTGTTTTATTTTCACAATACGCCAACGAAAACCCCATTTTATATTTAAAATATATAACTTTGATTGATATTGTTAGTGCATAATTGAAAAGGACTACTGAGTTCACTTAAAGTGTTTAAATTAACATAATTGACAAGGTGGAAATTCAAAACACCTTATTCAGAATAATTTATAAAGACTAGGATGTGATAAGTACGTCACGTTGAAGTTGAAAAGAGAACATAAATGACTTAACATAATATTAAGCTGTTTATCAATTTTATAGAGCGACTGTAAGTAGCGGAAAAAGGCATAAATACAAGTAAAGGCAATAATTTCACAAAAACATTTAAATTATTTTAGTTTCAAAACATTTCATTGATTTAAGTATTGATATGAATATCAAATAGACTGGTTGTGAGTTGTCTGTGTGTTGGACACAGTATCGCTGGTGGATGAAGAGACAAAAAGCGCGCGTATACGTATTTTAAACCCAATGGGGAGGGCAGAGACAATGGATATTCGTGTCTGAACTTGATTCTTCCAAAACGTTATAATTATACACATTAACAAATAGCAGAAGTGTCGAAATATAAAAAAAAACTCTTTGGCGCGTGCAGCTTGGATATGAACTTGCTATACGAGCTATTGGTATATGAAACTACCACTAGAAACAGAAGTCCGACATCAAAGCCGCTGTTCCATCGCCATCTTCATTAATGATAATAAAATGTGCTCTTATTGAGGTCAGCGATCGTGCTTAATCCGCCGCGTACTTAACGCAAGTTTTTGTCGTACATTTGTTTTGCATTACAGTTATTAATCAAATGCTGTATAGGCAAAAACTTATATACTTTTGAGGCCGTGCTGAGGGTATAAACTTATCGCCAGAGCGGTCAGTTTGTCGATGAACTTTATCGATAAATCGAAAATTTAAATTATATAGCTCGAGGGTTACTTTCATCTGTTTTTTGCTGTCCTTAAAAACTGGTTCTCGTGTGTCGATCTGATTCATCCTAATTACGTTATGATTCTTTCTTATTCATATGTAGCTCATTTACGGACTGCCGAAAAGACTAGTATGACCACTTGTATGGCTTGTCTACGATGGCAGTAGAGAGATCTCGTAATCGCAGCATAGTTGAATACTCAATTAAATAGTGGAGAAATGGTTGGCTTCAGTCTCCCCGTCCAAGCATAATGTGATTGTGTTCAAGGCAAGACTGAACAGGCTTCTTACCCAGAAGGGATATTATAAAAATCCACTGGAGCATGTCGTTATGGAACCACGAGTGTGATATTTGATGCAAAGCATTCCTTATTGGCATCTCTGAATAAAATTCGATTCATCATCATCATCAGCATCAGCTTACAATATACTGTTAGGAATAGGCGTCTAAGCACATCGTCTAGGCACATTACTCGCGTTACAATTCCATATTCACTTCAATGGTAATTTCATAATTAATCCAAAAGAACGTAGTGTGAATGTTACATGATTCTCGACGTTACAAGGTTCTTTCTGTTCTCCCAAACAGGATAGACAGAGACAACCGATGCTGACAAAAGCTTAGATCAAAACTTATCTAATACCTTCTATCTGGGCAAAAAAGCCTTTATAAATGAATGATTTGTTTTTACATAAATTTTGGAAATATGATTAGGTCTGATGTTTTTCATGCCGACCTATAGACGGGGACGGTATGCAGTATAGACAGTTACTTTTGTACATTTTTTTATATATTGTTTCATGTTTTTTTATTTATTTACATCATATGTTTTTTGTTATTTTTATACGATTTTTATTTTAATTTTTTCCTTTTCTTTCTGTTTTCCCTTTTTACTTGCTCATTTTTGTTGTTTTTTGAGTTTTTATTGTATTATAATTTTAGTTTCATAATTTTGTTTTTGAAATGTATTCGTTTTTTTGGACTCGGGATTGTTTTGGTCATTACCGAAATACAGCGTTGCAGTTTCACTGCAACATTCTGCTGAGTGATGTCATTTTTGGCATGAACCGCGAAGTACTATAATGAAAAGGGAAAATATGCTTATTGGAGTTTTATGTTCATGTTTTTTTTGTCTCTTTTTTATTGTTTTAAATGATTGTTGTGTACGTCAGTCTGTTTTATGTCAAATAAATCTCTTTGTTTCTTTCTTGTTTCTTACTTTCTAATAAGTAGTAATAAGCCGCACGACATAACCGAAGAACAGAAAACTCATTGGTATTCTTATAAACCTTTGGGATTCGCACACGGGACCGTAAAATCGCAAATCCGACTTCCTAGCCAATTAACTACCTCTAATAGAATGCACCCGATATATTTTCTAATACAGATCCATACTAATATTGTAAATTCGAAAGTAACGCTGTCTGTCTGTCTCGCTTTCTCGCCAAAACTAGTGAACCGATTTAAATGAAATTTGGTACACTGATAATCGAGAGCCTGAGAAAGGACAGGCTATTTTTTATTGGAAAAAAGGTTGTAAAGGGTCCTTAAAGGGGACAGATATTTATTTAAGGACTTCAAAAGCTAGTAATTTATATTTCTAAAATGCAAAGTAAGAAGATTTCAAATTGAAAACGCGTCGCGAATGACCTGTTTTTTCGTGCCAAGGCTACGGATTACGTGGGAAAAATATCGTACGACAATAATAATCGGTTCATAACAGATATAAAAAATTTCCTACGTAATGAATTCTTGTACTTATGCGGAAACTAAAAGTTGTTGCACTATTTTACAGATTTTGCGTCAAATCATGTCCCGTGACCACCTCTGAAAAGATTATGAAACGCGTCGACAAAACCGAATTTATACGCATGAAAAGACGAATGTTAAAATTTTTAATTAACTAGCTGCTGCCCGCGACTACGTCTGTGTAGTATAGACTACAATAATATACAGTACACCGTGCACATCAATAAATTGATTAGCGGAATGTAATCATTGTACGTAGGATTTAAAGGTAATAAAATATTCATACTTATTTAATTTTCATTGAAATTTTTCGACAATCGACTCTGATATTTGCAATGTAACGATTAGATTCCTGGAAAAAAAATAAACAAGCAAATGGTAATAAAAAGAATGGGAGAAAACTGACGTAAATAACACATTGTATCTGAAAAGCGTGTCATCGACGTGTTAGTTTTCAACAGCTAATATGTATAAAAACTTCGTGGTGTTCGGAAAAGTTTCTAAAACCAGTAGTCTAACGTGATAATCAAGCGTTTTAGTTAATAAATTATACCGAGACTTCAAGAAACCAATCAGAACTAAAAAAGAATATCAAAAGAAAGAAAAAATATAATATAATACCATCCTGCGGAATAAACGCCATGGCGGAATAGACCCCTTATAACAGTATGGCTAAGTAATTAGAGGTAATGGTGTTAAGAGATAGGCAGAACCCACCGGTAACTGCGGATATCTGACTCATATCTCTGCGGATATCTCATTGGATCCATTTATTTTTCTAAAGTAAACAAAGATGCAACTTGATTCACTGCAGATGTATCGTTAATTAATTTTCTTATCTCTTATTGCGTAAATGTATCAATATTTATGTAATAGTAGATTTTTTTATCTATTATTATATAATATCGGTGGCGCAGTTGTTAAGCTGATGGCTCCGGCATCGGAGGTCGTGGGTTCGATTTCCTCATGGGTAAAAATGTGTGTAAATAAAGAAAATTAACAGCCTATATATGTCCCACAGCTGGGCAGATTACGTACTTAACATATATTTGAAATGTTTTCTTTTTGTTATTATTTGGAAAATATGCAGTTTTCCTCACAATGTTTCCCTTCACAGCTGAGCACGTGATAAGAATGTGTGCGCCACATATAATAATTGTTCCCTATCAGGAAGTTTGTTCACATGAATGAGGCCATCGTTAAAAACGTACCTAATAACACTAACATCATGATTTACATGTTACATAAATACAGGAGCATGTTGAAGATGATTATGACTATGATAAATAATTTAATATCATCATCGCAATAACCACTAAAGTCTTTACTTCGTTATGCAAAGGGTCAGAAGGGCCACTCGATTCTAACGACATACGTTCATTTGCAACTGAGTATCAAACTATTTTTATACTCTTAAGAATATGATCGTAAAAAGTAATCATAACAACGTACTTCGTGAAAATCTATGAGGGGGGCCTATGTTCAGCAGTGGACTCAAACAGGCTGTAATGATGATGATGAAAAAAGTAGGTACCTATTACAATATATGATTATTGTGATAGGTTCTAGGTATTATGCCTTTTAAAGACGTTTCACAAACTATCTCCTTAAGTAACATTTGTGCGAGTTGTCAGGTTTGCTGCGGCCACGCTTGTCTCCAAAAATCTCGGTCTACTCCATTAAATTGGAAAGACTTGAGAACCTACAAGATTATAGAAACTTATTACAATTGTCAATGTTGGCTCTTCCCATTTCTAGGTCGGTGATCGACGAGTCTGCAGGCCAAGAAGGCAGCCATCTTGGCAACGAGGCGGGCATGCTGTACGGAGAGTACCTGATGCTGGACAAACTCCTCACCTCGCAGCGGATGCTGAGCGCCGAGTCCTCGAAACCGGTGCACGATGAGCACTTGTTCATTGTCACTCATCAAGGTGAGGTTTATGTCATTTACTCAATGATATTATATACAAATATAAGTTGGATATTACACTAGCGCATCGAAACTGAGGCGCTCAAATTACGCCAATTGCTGTAAGTATATTGCAAATCTAAGGACTGCTATCTCTTTCATACGGAGTGCTATTGCCTCATTGCCATCTTTTTTGCGGTAGTAAAAACTGTCCTGTATAAAAACTAGGATAGAATGACTTTTATCTGTATCCCTGTTATTGTGTGCTATTATAGATCATTGTGTTTGATCGTGCATATGATTAAAACCTAAATTCAATACTACATTAAATCATTCGTAACCAATTGAACTTATTTCTCATTCGTAACTGAACTTCTTTCAAAGTCAAACCTTTTACACGTGAATAAAACTGACACAATTATCTTGCTGTTTGAATCAATTTATATCTTCCATGCTCTTTTTCAGCATACGAGCTCTGGTTCAAGCAGATCATTTTCGAGGTAGACTCCGTGCGTGCTCTGCTCGACGTAGAAGGGTTGGATGAAGGGCATACAATGGAAATTCTGAAGAGGCTCAACAGAGTGGTGCTCATTTTGAAGGTATGTCGTATTTTTATATATGCACAAAAACTTTGGCACGCTAGCGCTTCTTGTCGGTTGACATCTTAAATGTCAACGATCCGTCGATGACAGTTTGGAATGACGTATATGACGTTATTTTAAATATTTACTGTAGAGAGAAAGAAGGTTCGAATTCCAGAACTTTTCGTAATAATATTATTATTAATAATTATTATTATTATTAATAATTATTAATTATTAATAATAATAATATTATTAATATAATTATTAATATAATTATTATTATTAAATATTATTATTATTATTATTATTAGTAATAATTATTATTATTAATAATTATTATTATTAATTTAAAAACGAACGAAATTCCTCAATTTAGCAGAAATATTTCTTTCTTAAATTTTTCTTAGATTCCAAGCAAGTAATGTCACTTGAAATTGAAGTTAAGTTCATTGGGGTTGCTCGAGTATATTGAATAAAAAGCGAGAGCCACGGCTCGCTGTCAAAATTGTCTCGATTTCTTAAACAAATAATATTGTGCTTATCTTCTTTCGCGTCGACGTTAAGGAGAAGAATTTGTCTCGTCCTTTACCGCTAATGGGTATCGCAAACTACCGATTTATTGCATGTTGTCAGACTACCACCGTGTTGCTTTCAACTAAATGATAGTTCATATCTTATACAATGCTGCATTTTACATAATCTGTTGAAATTTCAAAAAGAAAACGAATTTAGAAAAATTGATTGCCCTTGCTAATTGCAATTAGACCCTGTTTGATCCTACGTTTACTTATGTGGCTGCACTTGCAAGTTTTATACGTTTGAAATTTTGAAAAAGTGACCGTGACCCAAATTCATGTCTGTAGAATTAATAGCGTATTTGGCCCTACGTTTTCTTCATTTCTAATACATGTATGGAACCTGAATAATGCATACAATGCTGCATAGATGCTGCAACAACTTCGCATACTGCCACTGCAATGTTGTGGGTTCAGTCCTCACATAGGTATATAATACAAATAGTGTCTAAGTTATGTATATTCGTTTCTTACGTTGTTTATGGTTCTATTCTATTTGTGTACCTATCTCAACTTCTCTGTATCATCCATTAGTTTGACTGGCAGAAAATATCTTTGGCTTTAAGACCGCCTTAATACAAATACTTGTTTTTGTGTATAAAGTTTTAAATAAATAGCAGCGTTAGAAAATTGTTTCATCCACAAACGTTTATTACCTAGTACATTTGTTGAAATAAGAAGCTAAAGAAACCAGGTTAATGACGTAAACACATTAAGTGTTTTCAACACACAAAATTATCAAACGAAAAAACGTTAAGTGAAAGCTGAATCTAATCTAAAGTATCTCCGTACAAGCTAAACCGGTTTTCGAGGATTAAATTGACGCCTTTCCAATAGAATAGATTTTGAAATGACTAGAATCCTTTCTTCAGTAAACGCTATGTGGGTGGCAATCTGAAATGATTTAAATAATAAATCTTTCTCGTCAAAATATCTTAATTGCCAATTGGCCACCAAGACATGGAGGACAAATAATGATTATTGAAGGAAAGAATTAAGGATTCGGAACTAAACATGACTTACGTTTTTGTATTTATTCCGTATTTGCTTTTATGATATTGTAATGGCATAGTTGTTTAATTATAAAAAAATAGGCAATTTAAGCCATTTTCTACGTGTTGATTTTGACGTCATCGTTAACTTACGTTTTTATCCTTTTACTCGACCGCCAAAGGAGGGTTATGTTTTTTGAGCCTGATGTATGAATGTGTGTGTGTGTATGTATTTATGAACGTGTGTATATTTTTTATATGAAATATAGGTTTGAAGCTAAGCGAGGCTGCTGCGAGGTACTATCATTACAGTATGTCTGATTCTTTGGTACACTCTATAGCCCTTTTACCTTATAGATCTTTTGGTGGTAGCCAACATTAAGGTTTAATTAGATTCGTCTTAGATGTGGTAAATAGTTAAGTAAAGTAAAATAACAGCCTATATATGTCCACATCTGGGCAAAGGCCTCCTCTAAACACAAAGTATTAGGGCACACCACCACACGACCCCACTGCGGATTGGCGGATTGTACATATTTTCGTATTATTATTTTTTTGGTTATTATTTTAAAAATATGCTACTCGCGATTCGCCGCTGAGCACGTGATAAGTCAGCACTTAAAATTAACAATTTCATTAGTGTCGGCACCAGGGATCGAACTCAGGTTGCTCGAGTATATTGAATTGAAAGCTAGCGCCCGGACAATGAGCTATCCCGTCTTATAAAGTTATTACAATAGGGTCAGCGAAAAAAAGATAAAGAAATAGTTCGTATATTTAGTGCAGTCGGGTACAGTTTAATTCAATAATTTATTCACCCGCTATGCAACAGCTGGTATAATTTTGCGTAATATACTGTTATTCGATCATAAATAGTATATTACGGGTTGTAGCCAAATGTACTATTCGACGCAAGTCTAATTACCACATTAATTTCAAATATGGAAGATTATACGAATGCCATCTAAACTATGGAGTGTGACAAGTGGTGTGCGTAGAATTTTAACAATTTCAGCATTATTTCGTTAGATATCGTATTCTTACCGCACGGCGCCGTTGACTTCTAATGATCTTTGTTTTCGACCATTACGAACATCTTAATAAATCATTAACGATAACAGGTCACTCAAATGATATCCAAAGTGGCCTTTGAAAAGGCCGTGATATGTTAAGTTTGTTTTCTTTGCGCAAATTAATTTAAATTCAACATATTAATTTACGAAGGTACTATTATCAACTTATTACTTTTTAAAAGTTGATGTTTTTAAATAAAAATCGACGCGCCTTTTACAGATAGTTCTTTAAAATTAGTCATAAAAAGTGCTCGATTTATCAATCATAGACAAATCTGTATCAAATATTTACGACAGGACACATTTTTACACAACATTCTCTAGTCCCAAACTAAGCAACGTCTGTACTATAGGTACTAATAGTATATTTTTTGTAAATATATACATATACATACAGAAACACCCAGACACTAGAAAAAACACTATGTTCAGCATACAATATTTTTCCAGTAGTGGGGATCGAACCCACACCCTCCGGCGCAGGAGGCAGGTACACTACCCACTACGCCATTCGGGTTTTTAGACAACATACGCGTCGATTCGCTACGGACCGGAATCGTATTTACCTAACATATTTATAATTAAAAACACATACCTTACGGAAATTAGTAGTTCTTGTTTACCAAGGAAACAAACTATATTAATTAACCGTTTGCGTTAATCCAAAAGTTATTTTAACTAAATCAAATATGTAAAAGCACTGTGCTTATTAAAGGTGGTAAACTGTGGTAGGGCCATGCAACAGTCCGCTGTTGCACGAAAGGGCAGGTGCATCCGGAAAGTAACTACCACGACCTCACAGGAGACTGGCGTGAAGTGGATGTGTTATACAGGGTGGCTTTTCTAAAGGTGTCCAAATTTACACAGGAGGTTTAGACTCGGTAGTATAATCGTTTATTGAAATTAAAACAATTTTTTTCCCAAAAAAATTGCAATTCTATTCCTTAAAAAACAGAACGTGTTGACAATGCGATAGTCATTCATAAATGCGTCATATACTTTTGAATTTGAATGCATGTTAGTTCTGAATGATCGCGCGTAAAATAAATGATTTGCCCATAAATCACGCACTTTTTGAGATAAGTTCAAATGAATGTAATTAATTAATTACAGTGATTTTAAATATTTATCATTTTTATATAACATCATAATTTATGTCTAGAGTTTAATAAATAAAAAATGGATACACTTAGAACATTCTCCCTGTTTATCTGCGTTTCGTCTGGTCAGTTTGCTGGCGCCCATTTCATTCAAAGTCAAAGTCAAGTCAAAGTCAAAGTATATTTATTCAATATAGGCCCAACTTAAGCTCTTATTGAACGTCAACAAAAATCTACCACCGGTTCACTAAACTAGACCTGCACAGAGAAGAACCGGCAAGAAACTCTGCGGTCTTGTTCTTTTTGTTATATATATATATATATATATATTTTAATGCAATTATACACACTTAATTGGGTATAAAATCAGCAGCAGCCAGGGGTCTTGCAAGTGCAGAGCAAGAGTCATTTCCAAACATCCTTGTCCTCTATGTATTCTTGGATATTATAGTAGGCCCTTGCCATTAAGGTAGCTTTTACAAATTGTTTGAAATTGTTTATACTTAGTTGTTTGTGGATGTCACCTATTTTATTGTAAAAGTTGATGCATCTTCCAAGAAACGACTTTCTGGTTTTAGCCAATCTAAACCTCGGTACTTCCAGAGTGTCACCACGGCCCCGACGCGATGTGGATTGTTTTTTCGTAAATAGGTGGATATTATTACGTACATACATGATGTTCTCAAGTATTTAAAGCGACGGGAGCGTCAAAACGTTTATTTGCTTAAATGTATGTCGTAGCGACTCACGTGGACCCAAGCCATAGACGGCCCGTATAGCCTGCTTTTGTAACACAAATATTGTGTCTAGACCGGATGCAGAACCCCAAAGTAAGACACCATAGGACGTTATGCTGTGAAAATAAGCATAATAAACTAATTTTGCAGTTTCCTCGTTAGTTAGATGCCTGATTTTGCGTATGGCAAAGACGGCAGCGCTCAATTTCTTAGCTAACTTATCTACATGTAATCCCCATTGCAACTTGGAGTCAACGCTTATTCCAAGAAATGCTGTTGAATCCTCAAGGGGTAGGATTTTCTCATCAATAGAGATTCCTGATTGGTGACACATATTTGAAAGAGTAAATCTAATACATTTTGTTTTATTGGAGTTCAAAAGTAAGTTATTGGTAGCAAACCAGCCAGACACAACATCTATTATTTCATTTGGTTGTTCCAGTGCATGATCATTCCTTTTAACTTTAAAAAATAATGAAGTGTCATCCGCAAACAAAACAATTTGAGACCTTTTTTCCACTATATATGGCAAATCATT